CAAGTGGCCAAAAGTGACCGAAAACCAATTTCTGCAGAATTTACACTGGCATATAAGCTTTATTTTGAACCAATGGATTTTATTGAAGGATATTATACGCCAAAAACAGTTTGCCCATATTGCTATACAAACCTTGTGAATTGGCTACATAAAAACAAAAAAGCGTCATTGCGTTATATCACACCCGTAGTTTGGGTAGAAGATCCTAACGGACATAATGAATCCACATGCTACGCATGCAAAAATTATTCTGGTTTTCTTAATAAGCATGCGTTAAAGAATAAAAAATATACTCCCACTTTCACTGCCTCACTTCCAGTGCTTCGCGGTCGTAATGTCGAACCACCTGAATCTCCAAGTCCGGACGTTTTATCTTCGTTGCCAGCCGGAACTGAATTCAGCTATTCTGATGTGAATGATCTCGATTATATGCCCGATTACGAAGATGATAAACCACTATTGCTAACACAAAACGAAATGGATTACATTGTGGCAAAGTTGGGATTATCGCAACGTAATTCGGAGTTTTTAACCTCATTTTTGAAGCGCAGAAACCTCACAAAGAACGACGTCAATGCTACAGCATACCGAAAACGCCAATCTGAATTTCAGAAATTTTACACTGTTGACCCTACAAATACATTAACTTACTGTAATGACATCAAAAGTTTAGTTAATAAAATGGAAATGGAGTATGTCCCTGATAGGCATGCACCAATTCCGAGTCCAACCAATTCCAATTCCAATTCTTAGCTTGGAATTGATGGAATTGACCGGAATCGGAATTGGAATTGACAAGAATTGACTAGAATTGGAATTGGAATTGACAAGAATTGGAATTGACAAGAATTGGAATCGAATTGGAATTGACCTATGTTTTTCCTTGTGCAGAACATGATACTGAGGTTTATTCCCTTGACTTTAGTCTAGTCCAAGGTCTGATCGAGTTACAATGCTTGTATGTATGTATTTTGAAAATAAAACTTTGTTAGAATAAATATTTAACTCTTGATAATGAAAGAGGATTTGAGTAATAGCCATTATTTTCCACGTAACCAAAGGTTAGTTTAATAAGACTTAGTCATTTTCTAATTCCTCATAGTCGAATACCTATCT